AAAAAGTGATGGAGAGATATGGGAGAAGTTGGAGGGGAGGGAGTGGGCATGGATTTGATCAAAGCACCTTATATGCATGTATGAAATTCTCAATAAATTATTTAAAAACATATTTAGCATATCTGGCACATAGTAACTAAATGATGTTACTGAATTAATGTATAATCACCTACATTTTGCTAGTTTCACTCATTCAGATCATCATAATTTCTTAAAGAACTTTGGGTGGAATATTTATCTTTTAAAGAATGTTTTATTTTATTTTATGTGTATGAGTGTGTTGCCTGCCTGTAAGTACACCCATGTTGTGCCCATGGGAGCCAGAAGAGGGCATCAGATCCCCTGGTACTGGAGTTGTGGATAGTTGTTAGCTGCATTGTGGGTGCTGGGAATTGAACCTGAGTCTTCAGCAAGAGCAGTCAGTGCTCTTAACCGCTGAGCCAGTTCTCCAGCCCATGAAATATTTATCTTAATTTGTTAGAATACATGGTAGTTGTGGAGCAGTTGTAGTAATTACATTTCATAAGTTTTTTTTTTTTTTTTTTGGCTTTTTCTTCATGGCCTCTGTTTCTTAAACCCTTTTTCACCAGAGGTCTGAGTAGAAAGAGAAAGTGAAGAAATAAACTCAAGTCTGTTGCCTTTACTTGGAAAACAAACCATATGTGACTTTGCTGGTATGTTAGAAGAATCAATTTCCTATGTAACAGATGGCTTTATGTAACATGTAGGAGAGATGCTGCTTTTTAAGGAACTCCTGTAAGTGTGATCTGTTCTCTAGGTCCTATTGATCATTGGTCTAAAATGGATTAGAAAGTCCATGAGGATCTGGATAGAAGAATAATGCTGTGGTAGTTAGAGAATACAGATCTACCATCTGTTGCAAGCTATTGAGCTCTGATATGTTTCAGAAAAATGTTTTGAGATACAACCAAGGCATTATTGCTCTCCATCATAATATCTCTAAGTGGATAATGCCCTTATGTGGGATTTGGGCAGCTCCTAGTAATCAGACATTAAATATCTTTAGTGAATGCAGTGTACCTAACTTTAAGTGGGGTAAATAGAACCATTTGCCTTACATCTGTTGAGATTGTTTACTGATAAATAAATTAAAAAGCCTAGGTGAAATCTGTAACTTGGTTTTGAAAATCTTTTTGCTTTTGTTTGTTTTGGGGTTATGGGAGATAAGTGATTGAAGACCTCGTTTGTGCAAAAAATGTAGTGTTGCAGAATTTTTTATTAATACTAAATTATAGGCTAGTGTTAGTTTTCTAAGTGTTTCACTGTTTTTAATTGATTCTAAATAAAAAGAATGTTTAGAATATTAACATCAGTAGAGATCTATAAGCCACAACTTGTTAAAATTCTTTATAATAATCTGTTTCATAATTCCTCTCAAACTTAAAAAAAAAAATTAGGTCCTGGGGTAAATTAAAATGTTCCATGTTGATGTTGCCAGAAACAGTGTTAATAACATTTTATTTTGAAAGTCAGGTCTAATGTCAATCAGTCATCTTCAAAGGAACATGACTGGGAATTTTTTCATGGCTTTATGAGAAATACAGTGTTGAAGTCCTTACCTCTTTCAGTAGTGCATGGTAAAGGGCATGATCTGATCTGAAGTTTTTTTTTTTTGTTTTTTTTTCAGTTTTACAACTTTATTTGGCTCTTCGGCAGTTAGTTCCCACCCACATTGACTGTCTATAGATTTTTGAATGTGGTAACAGGGCCGTAGGTTACCAAGTGGAGCTTGTTTGGTGACTCCTCATCCTCATTACGTTTTCTGGACAAACAAACACGGTTACAATACGGAACGCTCCTTATTCCTTTGGCCCAGACAGGTTTGTTGAGCCTGATATCATTGCACACTCATCTTCATGGTGAATGTCTGGATTTCTATGAGTCTTCGAGACTCAGAAGAATTGATTTCTCGAAGCCCACTCCCTGGATGCACATGTGAATGTTGATGCTGTATTCCCGGGTCACCACCTCGTTGATGGCAGAACAGCCCTTCTTCTCACCACCTTTCTTTGCAGGAGCCATTTGGCTGGGCCCAAGTTGGAAAAGGATCTGGGGATTTTTGTTATTCCAAGATATACTATTTCATTGATTTTTAGGGAGCCTAGTTTTTCATATTTTAAGATTTTGGAAGACAGCGTAAGTCACATACATCATTGGTCAGATGGCCATTTGCAATGTACTGTGCACTTTCACAGCAGAATGTTAAAACTTGTAGAATGGGGGCTGGTGAGATGGCCAGCAGAAACCTGACAACTTGACGAGCCTGACAACTTGATTTCCATCCCCAGAACCCACAGTGGGAGCAGAGAACTGACTCTTTAAAGTTGTCCTCTGACCTCCACATACGTGTTGTAGCAGGTGTGCGCACCCTCCCCCCATGTAATTGTAACTTACAGAGTAGGTGTCATTAGCGTGGAAGAAAATTGGAGAGACATTAGTGGAGTACTCTTGGGCCCTGAGGAAGTAAATGGTCATAAACAAGAGTGAGGCTAGAAAATAGTTCTCTATCCTAAAAAGCTAGGCATTAGGTTTTTAATGAGGTGTTTTGTTTGTATATGTGCATGGGTGCATGCATGTGTGTGTGTGTGTTTTGAGACAGTGTTCTGTATGGCCCCATGCTGGTCTTAATCGTTTGGTCTTCTTGTCTCAGTCTCTCAGTTACTGGGATTATTACATGCATGAACTACTGTTCCTAACCGGCTACTTGTGTTCTTGATGCAACTCTTTTTTTTTTTTTTTTTAAAAGGACTGGGTCTTACTCTGTAGCCCTGGCTGACTTTCAACTCCCTATGTAGGCAAGGCTGGCTTGAAACTCACAGAGATCCACCTGCCTCTGTCTTCTGAGTGTTGGGATTAAAGACAAGTGCCACCACATCTAGCCCATGTTGAAGATTTTCACTCCAGATGGTAATTGGCAGTGAATAGTCTTAGGAGCTTAAAGCATAGATGTAAATTCCAATTTTCCTTTCAGAAATTACTCTTCACTATTCTGCAAGACACAGGTGTAGATAGCAGTGTGTTCTTGTGACAAATTGTAAGATATGGACATTGAAATACAAAGAGATCTCATGAAATTATAGCAAAAAGATGATTTTTTTTTTGTTTTCTCCTTGTACATGGATAAATTTAGAGGGTCTAGCATCTGTTGGACCTCCCACCTTCTCAGGGTTGGCTTCTCATACAGGTATTCTCCATAGAAATTTGAGGTCATACCACTACAGTAAGAAAATATAGACTTCTCAGAACACACATTTGAACAAATACTATTGAAAATAAATTTTAAAAATTACCTGTGTTGGCCATAACTCAGTAAGTGGTCCTTACTGAGTTATGATCCTTTGATGAGTTTTCATTCTCATTTAAAAGATATTATATGTATGTATGTGCATATATGTATCTTTGTTCTCATTTGAATTATAAGTTATTAGTTGGCTAGTCCTAATTTAATGTCATAGGAATTCAGTACAGTTTATTTTATTTTATAGGCTGGAGCATTGGATTTGCTGAAAGAGCTTAAGAATATTCCCATGACCCTGGAATTATTACAGGTATGTGCCTTTTTGTGTTACAGTGTTTCTATTGGTAATTGGCATAAAATACTGAAATATCTTCATTACCAAAAATATGTTTTTGAACTGTCTTGTTATGGTATAAAGTAGATCATTCTTTTTTTTTTAATTTTTATTTATGTATTTTGGTCTTTCTGAGACAGGGTCTCCCTTTAGCACCTACTAGCCTGGGACTCGCTATGTAGACTAGGATGCCCTCAAACTCACAGAGATCTGCTTGCCTTTGCCCTCTGAGTACTGGGACTAAAAGCATGTGCCACCATGCCTGGCTCATTCTTTTCTTTTTTTTTTAAAAAGATAGTCACATAAATCAGTAAGTTGTCATTGTAAAAATATATGTTCCTCAAGCTGGGGGTGGTGGTGCACACCTTTAATCCAAGCACTTGGGAGGCAGAGGCAGGCGATCTCTGTGAATTAAAGGCCGGCCTGGTCTATATAGTGAGTTCCAGGACAGCTGGGGTTATAGGGAGACCCTGTCTCAAAAAAGACCGAAAAAAAAAAAATTATATATATATATATATATTCCTCAAAAAGAATAGAACCTGGCTATCCAGGATTTTCAAGGTCATTGAGATCTGACCGTGAGAGGTGCTGCTAGGCTTGGACCCTGAGTTGGTCTTCCAGCATCTCCCCTTCTCAGTCTGTCGTAGCTTCTGCCTGCTTGAGCCTAGCTTCAGGGTGGGGATACCAGGTGTCACTCTTCTCCCTTTTTCAACACCAATCACACGTCAGCAACATTACATGAGTCGTTATTAAAGCCTTAGTGTTTATCTAGACTAAAAACGTAAGAACTTTAAACATAAGTCAGAATGTTAAAACGAAAGTAAATATAGTAACATGAATCCAGCTTTTTCCCACCAGACATAACCTTGTTATCTATGCTTATCTTCTTGGTGTTTCTATTTCATTAAGTTATAATTGAAGGAGTCAGAAAGGTATGTGAACTGGTTGGGAAGATACATTTTCACTAATGTCTAATTGAAATGGAACACTTTCAGTTAGAAAGGCTATAGACTACAGGTGTATTATTAGCTCTTAAGGCTATAACTAAAGAAATCACAAATATTTTGGTTTCAACTTACAGTTGTTACTGTAAGATATATTAAAATCCATTTGCTATTAGTGATGGTTGCTATCATTCCTTACCCTAAGTTTTACGTAACAGTTAAGGAAGTGGTATATTACTATGCTACATTTGAATATATGTGCAACTGCTTGATATAGAGTTGGTTTTCTTTGTAATATTTTATATTTTATTTAATGTGCTTTAAAAGCATTCTGAGGAGGGAGTCTATAAGCTTTACCAGACTGCCAAAGATTTCTATAGTGGAGATCTCACAACAACATAAAAAGAATTCTCTACATACAGACTCAAAAAAGGAAGAACTAATCATGAAGTACTACGACCAGATTCAGGGATCAGTGGCTACTTCCTTTTGAGACAGTATCTTGCCATCTAGGTGTAACCCTTCCTCACAGAGAATGATAGACCTATGTGGGGAAAATTGCATTGAAACAGTCTTAGTAATTCTAGCATGCATTTAAGAGATGAGTAGAGTTATAGAAGAAATTTGGAGGTCAGATAGGGTTTTCATTTATATCCATCTCTAATTTTTTTCCAGATGCTTCTTTTCTGTAAGTCTAATTATATAACAAACATTTGGATTTTTAAAAAAATTTTATGTGTATGTGTATATTGCCTGCATATAGGTAAGTGCACCTGTGTCGTGCAATGCCCGTGGAGGTCAGAAGAGGCTGTTGGATCCCCAGGAACTGGAGTTGGTGGACAGTTGTTAGCTGCCATGTGGGTGCTGGGATTCGAACCTGGGTCTTCTGTAAGAACAACCAGTGTTCTTAACCGCTGAGCCATCTCCAGCCCCAAACATTTAGATTTTTATTATGGTTAAGAAATGGGTTTGTAAACATCAATAGATAAGATTTTTCCTCCTCACTGAGTTCAGAGTCTTAATAGAAGAAAATTTTGTTTGTAAGCAAATTATAGGTACCCAGGTAGATGTCTGGGGGTGGGAACAGTATGGGAAAGAAGCACAAAGCAGTTTGCTTCTTAATCTGATCACTTAGTCTGGGAACTCAGGAAAGCCTTCACATAGGTAGTAGAGCTAATGATGAATCTCCAAAGATGAATAGTTTCTCCATTAGCAGAGAAGGGTGTCCAGCAGAGGAGGTTGAAATAGCATGTGGAAGTACTGTGGCATGTAGGGTAATACAGGGCAAGAAAGAGCTAGAGCTAGAGGCAGGATAGCATTCTGTCTTCATATGCACTCTCAGGATCAGTACCACTTAAATATTAAGTACATAACCAGATTAGCACATTGGAAGAAATGGGAAGCTGGAGACAGAAGACTTGATGACTACTGCATTTATTCAGGTGAGTGGCGACAAGGATGTGAACTAAGGTATTAGCAGTAAAGTGGAGCAGTAAAAGATGATTTTAGAGAGTTGGGAGGGAGGACATTGAGATAGAGTTTCTCTCTGTAACCCATGGTGTCCTCATTCTCACACCAGTCCTCCTGCTTCAGCCTCCTGAATTAAGGATTACTGGCATGTGCCACAACACCTGCCAGAACTGGATTTTTTTGTTTTAGTTTTATTAATTAATTTTTTTGAGACACAGTGCTACCATATATTCCAAGCTGGACTTTTACTTGTGAGACCTCAGTCTCCTAAGTGGTGGGAGTACAGGCATGTATCACCCTGCCCAGTACTCCCCACACAGGGCCGTGGGGTACCACTGAGTCTTTCTTGCGGAGGAGAGGCATTTGATAATGACGGACAACCTATAAGAATTGTCAGCTGATTGACTGGGCAAGGGGGTGAAAGGAAGAGTTTAGTGTAAAACTTCCTAAAGGATAGTAAATGTAGCTAGATTTCACTGTTATTTGCTGTGCTAGAGACCGAATCCAGGACCTTTTCAAGACAAGCATTCTATCACTGAGCTGAATCCTTAGCCCTGTTTTCTTTTAGTGTTTTTTTCAGCTTTATTTAGATATAAATCACATCCCATATAGTTGACTTCTTTCAAGTATATAATTCAATATTTTATAGTATATTCAAAGTTTTTTCCTGTCCTTAAACATAATCAATTTTAGAATATTTTTGTTGCTCTAAAAAAAAAACCCCAAACTGCATACTTTTTACAGTCATTCTCCATTTCCCCTTAATTAGTTCCCTCCTTCTGCCCTAACCAACCAATACTTTCTGTCTCTGTAGACTTGTCTGTTCTGGCGGGTTCGTATAAATAGAATCACAGAGTTTGTGACTTTATATGTCTGGCTTCTTTCATTCAGCATGTTTTTGAGGTTTGTCCATGTTGTAGTATATGTCAGAACTTCATTATGTTTTACATGTAAAGAATATTCCATTTTGTGAATATATACATATATAAATACCGTTATGTAAATACTATATTTATCTATTTGCCAGTTAATGACATTTGAGTTGTTTGGGGCAATTATGAATCATGTCTATCTGCTGATACACAAATTTTGTTTTATTTATTGATTTTTATTTTATATGTATGAGTGTTTTGCCTCTATGTACATAAGTGCACCGTGTGCATGCAGTGCCTGCAAAAGCTAAAGAGGACATCAGATCTTGGAAATGGAGTTAGGACAATTATTAGCTGCCACATGGGTGCTGGGAACCAAACCCAGTCCTCTGCAAGAGCAGTCAGTGCTTATAATTGCTGAGCTGTTTCTCCAGCCCTGATGTACAAATTTGTGTGAACACATGTTTTCGTTGCTCTTGGATAGATAGCTAAAAATGGAATTGGTAGGTTGTATAATAACTGTTTAACGTTATGAGGAGCTGCCAGACTGCTTCCCAAGTGCTTGCACCATTTTACATCCAGTAGCAGTAAGTAGAGGTTCTAGTTTCTCTGTGTCTTTGCCAACTGCTGCAATGCTCTGTCTTTGATTACAGTAGGAGTGGGAAGTGATTTCCGTTTCTCCAATGACTACATGATGCTGAGCACCTTACTGGCTTTTTCTTCTTTGTTTTGGTTTCAATCAGGGTCTTGCTATATAGCCCAGATTGGACTTGAATTAAAAAATCCTGCTACCACCTCCTCAATGCTGGGATTGCAGAACATTTTCAGATTGTATTTGGAGAAATGCTTCCTTTGCTTTTCTTTTTTTTTTGAGACAGGGTCTCCCCTGTAGCCCCAGCTGGCCTGGAACTCACTATGTAGACCAGGCTGGCCTTGAACTCACAGAGACCCGCCTGCCTCTGCTTCCCAGGTACTGGGACTAAAGACATACACCACCATGCCTGGCTTGCTTTTCCATTTTTAAGCTGGATCGATCATTATTGAGTCACGGTAGCTTTTTGTTTAGATATAATCCTTATTAGATAAGAGATTTGAAAATATCTCCCATTATCTTTTTCTCTTTTTTCCCTCCTGAATATTGAATATGGGACCTTACACATACCAGACAAGCACTCCAGTAGGCTACTGTTGAGCCACTCCCGTTTTTTGTGGTTGTTTTGTTTTTTGGTGACAGTATCTTAGTACCTGGGTTGACTTAGAACTTGAGTTTGCTATACTCTAGTTTGTTGTCTTCTGTGGTTACTTATGTTTTAGGTGTTAGGTTTATGAAACCATTAACAGAAACTACCCATGTTGGTGCATGCTATTTGGGAGGCTAGGCAAAAAGATTGAGAGTTCTAGGCCTACCCAGGCTATATGGTGAGCCTTGTCTCAAAAACCTAAGAGGGAGGGAGTAAATGAGGGAGGGACAGATAGACACTTGTGCAGGCCAACCAAAGTCACAAAGATTCCTTGTTCACCAACCATTTGTTAAAGATGCAGAGGACCACAATTCAGTTCCCAGCACCATGTTGAGCAACTGACAACTGCCTTGTAACTCTGGCCCCAGGGGATGTAATACCCTCTTCTGGCCTCCATTAGTACCTGCACTCATGTGCAAATATGCACACACAGGACACACATTCACATAATTAAAAATAAAAATTTAAAAACATGTTCTTTTTTTCCAGTGAATGGTCTTGATTTTTGTTGTTGTTGTTCTAAAATCAACTGATGGAAAATGTGTAGATTTTTTTGAGGGGTCCTAAATCTGCCCACCCATCTACATGATTTTCCTTTTGCTAACACCATACTGTTGTGGTTACTTGCAGCGGGTTGAGGACATTTGGAAGTTGGGAATTGTGTTATCCAACTTTGTTCTTTCCCAAAATTGTTTTGGTTCATGTTTCTCTGGTTTAAGATAATGTGTCAGTTTTTACCCAGAGGCAGATCAGAGTTAATTCTGAGCAGCGAATCTGTAGTTTGATTTGATTATTACTAAATCTTAACATTTAAATCTTCCAATCCCTGAACCTAGGATGCCTTTTCGTTTCTGTAGCCCATCTTCAATTTTTTTTCCACAGTGCTTTATAGTAGCTATTTATTTCTTATATCTGTGTTTTTTTCTTTCTAAAATTACATTTATTTACTTGTGGGGGGCTTGCATGTAGTGGTCAGAGGATAACCCAGAGTCAGTTTTCTCTTTCTACCATGTAGGTCCCAAGGATTTAAACTTAGGCTTGGTGGTAAGTCCTGTTTCCTGCTGAGCCATTCCACTGGCTTCTGTTTTTTTCTTTATGTACATGCTTTATGGTAGCTGTATGTTGACTGTGTGTGTGTGTGTGTGTGTATTTTTTTGGTCTTTTTGAGATAGGGTCTTCTTGTAGTCCCAGCTGTCCTGGAATTCACTATGTAGACCAGGCTGAACTCATAGAGATCTGCCTGCCTCTGCCTCCCAAGTGCTGGGACTACAGGCGTGCACCACCACGCCTGGTATGTATGTATATTTTAAAATTTTATTTATTTTTATTTTATGTGTATGAGTGTATTGCTTGCATGTAAGTGCACCCATGTCCTGCAGTTCACACAGAGGTCAGAAGAGAATGTTGGATCCCCTGGAACTGGAGTTACAGATGGTTGTTAGCTGCTATGTAGTTGCTAGGAACCGAACCTGGGTCCTCTGTAAGACTGGCCAGTACTAACCACTGAGCCACCTCTCCAGCTGTGTATTTTTAACCATAAGATTTAGTGACTGCCTTTAATTCCAGCTACTCAGGAGGCAGAGGCAGGCGGATCTTTGTGAGTTCAAGGCCAGCCTGGTCTACGTAGCAAGTTCCAGGCCAGCTGGGGGTACAAGGAGACCCTGTCTGAAAAAAAAAAAAAAAAAAAAAAGACTCGGCTGGAGGTATAGATAGCATTTGTTTGGCATGCAGTGTCTTGGGTTTGGTTCCTAGCACCTAAAACAAACATAAAAACAATTTAGTTGCTCCCTTCAGATCACCTTGACAAGAAGAGCTCATGAATTGTCATGAAGGAGATTTTTGTTCTGGAACACCCCAGTTGATGTGCCTCCAGCTTTGTAAATCTGTTTTTGTTGTGCCTCACTCGCTCTCTACCTTTCTGTAATAACCTCCCTTCCCCTATCCTTTCCATCCCTCCTCCTAACTGTGTATCTGATTTTTAAGGAGAATTCTTGGTCCAAGGTTTGTAATTTCTCTGCTACAGTGTCAGAGGCCACTTTTTGAATGGCTTATCTATCATATCTTGTAAGCCTTGGTATACCTGTTCTCGGAAGTCTCTAGACTTCTGAGAGATAAATCCAGACCTAGTTATCCAAGTAAATAGCTTCTTATTCCTGTACTTTCTTCTAGTCTCCCAAGAGTTTTCCCTAAAGGAAAATGAAAAGTACCTTGGGTTTTCTGGGCCTTCTGATTTTCCACTTCTCCTCAGCATCTGATTTCCTATTGTCTAACTGGGTATCCATTTCCTTAGGTAAGCATACTTATTGTAGAGAGCCGCATTCTCAGAATAGGTGCTAAGCGGGATAATCGTTGGTTTTAGTAATCAAAACATCCTATGATAATTGGTAATTAAAAAGCAGTCACCCAGCAGCATTTGCTTATTCATCTTCTCCTCACACCTTTGGTCCCCTGCAGGCCTTCCTGCAATGCCTTTTTCTTTGCCCTTCTGGACCTCAGCGCGTTAGTAACTCAAGTCATTTCCTCCACTCATTCCAGAATTATGTTTTTCTTTTAGAAAACTTGCTGTGTTAATTCCAAATCTTTGCGGAGGGGGGGGGCTTTAAAATCTTGGGGTTCTCTTTATCTTTCTGCTGTTGAACCCTATCTGCTTTGCTCAGGTCCCTAGAGAGAGAACACAGACCACTGCAGCCCTCCCCCCCCCATACTTTAAATTCTTGAACAAAACATCTGGATTTTTTTTTCCCTGAGTTTAATAATTTAGAAAGAAACCTTTAAGTACCCATTTATTTCTCTACCTCAAAGCTATCAGCAGGGATTTTCCTTTATTTTTCAACCACTAAGCATTTCTTTTGCCATAGATCATGTGTTTTTGAAACTTACTGAATAATTTACCGTTTTTATTTATTATCCATAATTGAGCTGTCATAGCCTTTGTGGTTTTTGATGAAATGGAAAGAGCATGAACTGTGAAGTGGTCAATCATAGATGAAAATTCCAGTCTTGCCAATTAGCAGTGGTAGAATGCTGGGCAGGTTATATTGGGAGTTGCAGTCTCTTTATCTTTAAAAATAGGGGTAATAGTCTCAACCCAAAGTGTTCTTAGAAAGATTAATGTACATGGAAATTCTATTATAATATTATTACATGCTAAATTTATTTGTATTCTGTGAAGTCCATCTTGAGATCTGTAACTATATGATAGTTTTATAGGACCAAAAAACAAAAATAGCCTCTTCAACTTCTCTAGGTGGTAGTTTTTGTTTGGATAGTTTCATTATAAGTTGTAGCCAGTACTTAGAGGGAATCTCTGTAGAAGAATGTAATGAGACCAGGGAGTGCATGTGCTTGTCATAACTATTTCAGTTTGCCTTGACAGGTACATTTTGCATTTTATCCTCATTTCCCCCTGAAAGACTGATTTCATTTCAGTCATTCATTGGCCTTACTTAACAAAGTATCACATTAAATGACTGCTGATGTCAGTGATGGAGCACTGATGAGTCCAGTGTTGGATCTGAAGATATATGTACCTTCAATCTGTAATATATGTACCATTGTAAGATCTCAAATCATTGACACTTTTAAAATATCTGAAGTAGGAGAAATCTGAAAAAGAAGAAAGTGTGGGTAATAGTATACTGAGTTGTTTGAAATAGAATGATGTACATGGTTTTTTTTTTGTTTCCTTGCAGTCTACACGAATTGGAATGTCGGTTAATGCTATTCGAAAGCAGAGTACAGATGAAGAAGTTACATCTTTAGCAAAATCTCTAATCAAATCTTGGAAAAAATTATTAGGTATAATTGATATTTCCTTGTGTATTTATGATGTCCTGATTTGTTCAAGTCGTTGCTGCGTTTTTTTTTTGTCTATAATGAAATCTGCTTTGTAATAAGAATGGGAGGGATAATTTAATGTCCTTGAAAATTTTGTATTTTAGGCTAATAAGTTCAGTTGTCTTGGCTTTTGACAGTCTTAACTAAATATGAGCTCTTTCAGGATTTTTCTCTGAAGGGAAAAGTACATTCTTTCTGAAGTGGCTTTGAAATAACCTTTTAACTTTCACAGAAGTAGCAAGCACGCGTGCATCTGTTTCCTTTACCCTGCTGTCAGCTTTTGATACTTGTCATTTAATCATCTGCTTACTTTTAATCATCTCTCGGTTTTTAGACCATCTGACAGTTGATTCTGTAATTTTATTTTATCTTATAATACTTAGAATATTATTTGTATTTCTCCTTGGAACAAACGTTTCCTTTCCTCTTTTCATTTCTTTTTTCTTTTTTCCTCTTTTTTTTAAAAGATGGGATCTCACTAGTATGTCTGAGTTGGCCTAGAACTTACAATCCTCCTGCCTCAGTCTCCAGAGTAGCTAGAATTATAGGCATGTGTCAACATTTCCAGCACAAGCTTATTTTCTTATACAACTGTAATACAGGAAATTAAGCACTGGTCCAGTATCTTATAGTCCATGTTCTAGTTTGTCACTAACCCCATAATGTACTTTTTGTCTGCAAAAATGTAGTCCAGAAAAATGTAGTTTTCTAATCTAAGTTCTTAAGCCTTTTTTTGATGTTGACTTTTTGGAGAATTCAGTAACATTTCTTGGTTGTGTTTTCTGTTTTGTTTTTATTTACTTGAGACAGGGTCTCATTAACCTGTAACTGTGGATGTATCTGATGACCTTGAATTCCTATATGTCCACAGTTAGAATACTATTTAAGTATATTAAATTCCTAAGGTGTCACACCTAGTTAGAGTGTTCACTTTTTTTTGTAAAAAAAAGCCATTCTACAAGAGACATTTTAAGACCCTGAAACTGCCTTGTATTTTATCAGATCTGCCCTTCCCTCAATTTAGTGTCCATTATTTTTCCCCAAACCAGTCTTCACATTGATGGATACAAAATTTTGATGTCCAAACTCTTTCATTTATTTACAAATTATCATTACAGTATAAGAAAGCATTGTCATTCATGGTTTCCTATACCATATGATAGTCTGTAATCTACTACCATTCAGATTGATTTACATTGTCTCAGATTTGGCCACTAGGTGCCTCCTCAGGCTGGTTTCTAGATCCTTTTGGTTAGCCCTCTTCAATGATGTGATCACTTACTGACAGTCTAGATCCATAAGAAGTATTTGGCCCATCTGTTTTCCTTGTCCCAGCCCTGGATTTGGCTACTACACCTACACCTGGTTTTATGTGAATACTTATTTGTGTTGTCATTTTTATATATGAAATTTTTTTTCATTACAACTAGTCATTTTATTGGCTTCAGATGACCATGTAATAATTTTTATCAGGTGCCTATTGTTAAGTTTGTTGTTGTTTTTAACTTTATGGCTATTACAACTCACATCTTGATGAATATCCTCCTGCCTAATTTTTTTAAGATCCTTAGCTAAATTTATAGATTTAGTATTACTGCTTGTAAATAGTACATTCTTTTTGTTTTTTCTTTGTGGTGTTTGTTTGTTTTTGAGGCAAAGTCTCCCCTGTAGCCCCAGCTGACCTGGAACTCGATGTAGACCAGGCTGGCATCATGTCTCAGAGGTTTGCTTGCCCCAGGCCCGACAGTAGCACATTTTTAAATATTAGCACTTTTAATATTTACAGTATGCCAAGCATTGATTTAGATGAGTACATTTAAGCCTCAGCACACTTGAGTATGTTAGATACTATTATAAATCCCCATTTTATGATGAGGAAATTAAGGTATGAACAGTACCTTATGCATATTGTGTTTATGGTGAATAGCCAAGCTTGAATCTGACTATAGATGATCTTAATCCAGAGAGAGTTGGAGTACTTCCTTCCCTGCCAACTCACTATACTGCCTGTAGCACTGTATTAGACAGTAGGAGTCTTCACCTAGGCATGGTGACTAAGCTCAAGGCCTTATATATGCTAGGCAAGCACTCTACCACTAAGCCACATCTCATTTCATTTTGATATGTAAGTGTGCGTGTGTGTGCGTGCGTGCGTGCGTGTGTGTGTGTGTGTGTGTGTGTGTGTGTTGTACAGGCTATTAGTGTACTGTATTTCAGTTTTTATTTTTAACAGGTTAGATTTTTCAGATTGTTTAGGAATTTCACACATCTTTTCAGATGGACCATCAACTGATAAAGACACTGAAGAAAAGAAAAAAGAACCTACAATTTCATCACAGAATAGCCCTGAAGCAAGAGAAGAAAGGTAATCCACTTTATGTAAATTCATTTCTGTAGAGGTTAGGTGCTTGCCTGCTCCATCATTTTGTGCCTGGTCTTCTGATCTCATCTGCACTCCTCTTCCATTACCCAATCAAATGGAATATATATATAGCTTACTAAAAAAAATTTATGCCGAGAGTGGTGGCTCACGCCTCTTAACCCAGCACCCAAGAGGCAGAGGGAGGTGGATCTCTGTGAGTTCAAGGGCAGCCTGGTCTACATAATGAGTTCCAGGCCAGCTGGGGCTACAGGGAGACCTTGTCTCAAAAAGACCAAAAAAAAAAAAAATTATTTTAGCAAGATACCTTAGATTTTTAGAAGTAGAAGACTATATAAATAAAACAAAATTCACGTTGTACTCAGTAAGTTTGAATAGACTTGCTGGTACTGGTACTGGTGGAATGGATAATGAAGGCATTGATTAGGGATTCAAATGGTTTCTTCCTTTGTTACCATATTTCTTTAAATCTATTTTAGCCCTGGATCATATTTCTTTTTATGCCTTTTTCCTCCCAACTTTGTCATGAATGTGAAGTTGAGTAATGGTAGGTTCTAATCATGCCTTAACTCCTACGAGGTTTTTTTCTATTCTTTGTTATCATATATGATGAAGTGTGCAATATCCAGCATTTTGCCATAATAGGTGATATGTATAGTAGATTAATGTGAACGGTTCCTCAGTTCTTAGTACAATTGTAGCTTGGATGGACTTAGAGAGTGGTTCTCCAAGGGCATTCCCTAGAACAGCAAGCGCCTGACTGGTGGTCAGGAATGGGAATGTTCAGGCCTTACCCTGGAACTGCTCCGTCAGGAGTTCTGAGAGTGACCCAGAATTCTTTAGGTGTTTCAGAGGCACTGAGGTTCTAGAACCTTTGCTTTAAAGGCAACAGATTCTAAGCTCTGTTTTGTCTAAGAACTTTTGATTGCTACATAATCCAGTTTAGGGCCTTAGCGGTTTTAAGACATGAAGGCTACTATCAGTTTATTTCCCAAAATTGATCACGTGTTCATTTTTTTTTAGTAATATTAGTATCTCCTAAACTGTTATTTTATGTACTTAAATGTTAAAGAAGGTAAGCCAAAAGTGGGGTTAAAGAGCAGTAGTTAATAAAATCTGTAGTTTAAAAAAAAATTTATTAATTTTATTTTATGTGTATGAGTGTATTCCCTGATTATGTAAGTGCATCCATGCCATGCAGTGCCCATAGAGGTCAGAAGAGAGCATCAGATCCCCTGGATCTGGAGTTACAGATGGTTGTCAGCTGACATGTGGGTCCGAAGAACTGAACCCAGGTCCTTTGTAAGAGTAGTTAGTGCTTTTAACCACTGAGCCATCTCTCCAGCCCAAATTTGTAGTTTCTTTCTTCTCATTTTTTGCCTTGACATTTTGGATTTTTAGAAAATTTCAAGAATAACAAAAGGAACTCCCATAAACCCTTAGCTCAGTTGTTCCCATTATGTGTATCTATGCATATGTACATATGTGTTTATACACACATGAACTGATTTTATATTGAACCAAATAAGAATGATTTACAGACATCATACCCTTTATATCTCTAAATATATCAGTGTGTATTTTCTAATAACTAGTGTATGTATAACACTACAGCTGTCAGTAACAAGAAGTTAACAGTAATAAACTTTTTTCCTGTCATAGATCTTAATGAATTTTTGTAGCTGTCCTAATAGTGTTTATTTAAAGTGTTATTTATTGCAGAGGCCAGCTTACAACCAATCTAGAGAGATAGTGTTTGAAAACTCTGTTCTAGTTAGACAGTGGGGATTTGGAAAAATATTTTTCCAAAATACCCTGAGTCAGTTGTGTTTAGTTGTCATGTGTGCTTGGTCTCCTTTAATCTTTAATAGTTCCTGTACTAGTCTTCATCATCTCTCATGATCTTGATATCTTTTAAAAGTATATCTTTTAAAATTGCTTTCAACTATGTCTTGTGTAGATGCTCTGGTTTGATGCCCTTAAAAATGTAAAATATAGACAAATAAGTAGATTTTGAAAAAAAAGTGAATTGTTAGTTTAGATATCATAGCTGTCTGCTAAAGCATGTATTATGTAGGTGCTTGCTACCCATCCACATGCAGGAAGAAATAATAGAGGACTGCTGGAACAGGTCTGAGGTATAATCTAAACGGAGATGAAGGTTAGACCTGACTGGTTTGTACTTGAGCACAGTTTTACATTTTGGATGCAAGAATTTGAGAAAATTACATTCTTAAGTAGTTCAAACCCAGGCATGACAGTTAATGTAAGAGGTGGGCCGGTAATAGTAAAGCTAGTGAAGAAGAGTGCCATCAGTCCACACAGGCAGTTTATAGTACTTTTGCTATGCACCGGAAATAGGCAGAGAATCAAAAGCCTTTAATTGAAGTACTTGAGAAGTGGATTTAAACAAACATTGGATTTGGGGTTGGCGATGTAGCTCTGTTAGTAGAGTGCTTACCTACAATGCCCAAAGCCCTGGATTCAATCCCCAGCACCCTTCATAAAATGGGCATGGCAGCACACATCTACAACACCATTACTTGTGAGGTAGAGGCAGGAGAATAAGAAATCCACAGTCATGCTTGGCCTACGTAGGGAGTCAAGGCCAGCCTGGGCTACATGAAACCTTGTCTCATCATAAACTAATTAATAAGTAAATAAACAAATAGCTCTTTTTCATTTATGGCTTACAGTTGCCATGCTGCATATTGAAAATACAAGCAAGATTAAATCCTAGCTTACGTTTTTTGTAAACTTAGTCTTTGGGAGAAAGTATGAAAAGTAACCTGAAGTAGTTTTTAAGTACAGGGCATCCTAAGAGAAGGCTGTAGGAAGAACTGATTTAAGATTTGAAGGCACAAATGACTCTCTTGTCCATAGTGATGTTTTTGAAGTTTAACTGTGGTTGTGTCCTGGAGATAAGACAAGGGACTATATCCTTACAGCAAATACAAATTAGGTCTGTGGAGAAAAATAGTTTGGTCTTTGAAAAAAAAAATTGTGCCTGATGCCATTAATGCGGTAAGACTTAACTTGAAACTAGTCAAAGAAATAGTTTGGAGAGAGCCTGTTTTGGCAGATGTCCAGTTGAAGAAGTTAATCACAAGCAATTGAAATTTTGGGGTTGACTGGAAAATTATTACTATTTTTATTTATTTATTTATTTATTTATTTATTTATTTATTTATTTATTTATTTGTGTGTATGTGTGTGTGTGTACGCGCGCACGCGCGTGTGTGTGTGTGTGTGTGTGTGCATGCACCATGTACAATTAAAGGTGTGCGCCACCATGCCCGGTGGAAATTTATTTTTTTTTAAATTTTATTTACTTTTATTTTATGTGTATGAATGTGTTGCCTGCATGCATGTAAGTGCACCTATGTTGTGCAAATGCCTTCATGAGAGAAGAGGGCTTCGGATCCCCTGGAACTGGAGTTTTGGGTGGTTGTTAGCTACCATTTGGGTGCTGGGAATTGAACCTGGGTCCTGGGTCCTCTGCAAGAGTAGCTAGTGCTCTTAACTGCTGAGCCATCTCTCCAGCCCCAACTGGAAAATTATTAAACTGCTTGGAAGAGTCAGTGTTTCTGGGAAGAAATTAAGAGACCTTTTTATACTCTGGAAGCTTAACTTCTTAATACACCTGCTTTTATCTTAAAGGGGGTGTTTCGTTAGATCCCCATTGTCTAAATTAAAACAGACTTTTCAGACACTTTCAGTTCACAAGTTTGACTGTGAGCTGGCTTGCTCTTTGACCTCATTCCTTCAACCCCTTCCTCATGCCCAGGTCCTTGCTTTTCATGTACTGTGCTGGGTTATAATGCATCTTTTCTTAATGTTTAAAAGGGCAGTCAAGGCAATTTTTTTTTTAAAAAAAGCCATGAGATTTATCTATTGAATTCAAAATTTTTAAAACTTTTAAAGTTTTAAAAACTTTTTCAGTCTGTATGCAAGTAACTGCTATAAGTAACTGTTATTTTACGAAGGTTTTTCCTGATTTCTTTTTGGTGTGTGTGTGTGTGTGTGTATTTTAGTAGTTCCAGTGGCAACATAAGCAGCAGAAAGGATGAGACAAATGCTCGCGATACTTACGTTTCATCTTTTCCTCGGGCACCAAGCACCTCTGATTCTGTGCGATTAAAGTGTAGGGAGATGCTTGCCGCAGCTCTCCGAACAGGAGGTAAGTTTAGGGTTACTTGTTCGCTCTTTAGCCCCTTCTACGACCACTGCCACCTCTACTTCCATGTTGATGTTTTATGGGTGTCATCCTGCTGATAGCTGCCCACCTCTGCTCAGCTTGGAAGCTGTTGCTAGTGGTAGTTCTCGAGGGTAGAAGAAGAGGAGCACTTAGACACTGTATAGTTACCGTATGATTTCAACAGATGGAATTCTTGTAGTATATTAATTTTTTTCATGGTTTAGTAATTGAAGCTTTCCGTCCATAAGTATTT